GTATGTTAAGAGATGACCGTGTTTCAGGAAAGGGTGGAAGAGCATGGAAATGCAACCAGATCTCACCCAGGGGACACCCCTGCACCACACCCCAGATGTTTCGGGGAATAGTACCCCAGATCTCTCTCTTTCCCATTTGCTCAGTCATTTTAAATGTAAGGAATGTAGGCTTCACTCCAACCCTTCTAAAACATGAGAGCAAGTGCCATGTTTATATGATTTCGTTGGTTTTTTTTAACTTTTGTGTTCATGTGCATGAACATTACTGTAGTCAACTTCACACAGCGTGCTAAGATTTCTTGATTTTGGGCTTAACATGTGATATGAACTATTTCATTGTAGTTCACATGCCATAGCTCATGTCTTAGTATGATATGAAATCCAGCCAGTAATGGCTTATTGAACAAATCATGGTTAAAACATGCATAATTTGTGAACCCATTTGTGGAATGAAAGGCTGGGTTTACATTTTGAGCAAAGGCACCGTGTGGGTTACTTGTTTGTAGCTTAGCCTGTTATACAAATCCAATCTTCAGGTTTTTGAAGCATTAGGACTTCGTATGTTATAGAAAACCAACCAACTGAATAAACCTGGTTAAGCAAATTGTGACTGTGTGCTGTATACACAATTTATTTTGAAAACCAGAACTGAACAAAGATCAGAGCCTGTGCCCACCAAAATTAACATCTGATCACCTCAAGCTAACTTTGTGGCAACAGACAGATTAGGAATAGAGGATTTAGCATTGCTCCTAATGGTAAACAATCAGAAAGCAGAAAATTTTGCCACCTGCTGTAGGAAATTTTAAAAATCTACAGGTAGATTCTGATCTATCGCCTGTTTCTGCTCTGAAACACACTGCGCTGGCAAAATAATTTATTTCCGTCATAAATCAAGTACCTGCTTGGTCTTTATGCCAAAGCTTTTTCTTGTACTTAATCCTATAATAATCCGCACCTGAGGAGACTTGGGGGAAGTGGGGAAAAGGGGAATACTTTGTTTTCCTTCTAGGCAAACATCTGTAAGCCAGGGCAAATTTTGTTTGATCCTGCTAAAATGCAGCCACTGCAGCTAAGAAGAGTCCATCATGTCCCGGCTGTTCAGAAAAGGGGGGTGGGAGAGGACCCCAATGGCTAAATATGGAGAAAATATCACACTTGCACATGTACTCAAATACAGAAGCAGCAGCGACACACAGGAGGTCCCTCGCTCAAGGCTCTGAAATGCACAGAGGTTAGCTTTTCTTTCCAAGAAAGAAGACCGACGACGTTCTTCTCGCTCCCAGCCCTGAAGGGCTAAGCAACCCAGGGCTTAAAATTTGAGCGGTTTTCTCCTTAGGTAAAACCCATTTTGACTGGAGCAGGGACAGGATCCGAGAGAGGGTCTCTGTGCATGTGCAGGGAGCCCCAACGGGAAGCTGCAAGGGAGTGACGTTCCCAGCAGCCCCATGGAAGAAAACCCAGCGTCCGCTTGAGGAGGGAGGGATAAGCTTCCAATAAATCTCCGTAGCTCTCTCCGCCTGGCTCTTTACACTAAGGAAGGTAGAGAGGGGGCGGGCAGGCCCACGGAATCCACCCGGGAAACGGCCTAGAAGCCCCGAGCCCCACACGACGGCCGCTGGCCAGGGCGTCCCCCGTTCAGGAACGCGCCTTCTTTTTCGCGCAGAGGACACCAGGCAGCCACCCAGAGAGCGCACGGGCTGAACCGGCCGCCTGGCCAGCCCACGCTGCGCCACCTCCCGTAGAGCATCTCCCGCCTGCTGCCCGCTCTCCCCCCGCGCTGGAGGGACAACCCCCCCCCGCATGTCACCCCCAAACCGCCCCCCCGGCCCCTCCGAAGACCCGCAAAGCCACGGACCGCTCCTCGGCTAGCGAGACCTGCCCGTTTCCTCCACCTCTCTCCAAGATGCCGCATTGGAGAGCCCGGTGGCTCGGCCGCCTCCGGCCAAGGCCCCGAGCGGCACGGGCTTTGCGGGAGCAGTTGGGCATTCTGACCCCGTCCCTTCCCGAGTCGCCGAGACAATAAGCCACAGCGTCCCCACCTTCCGCCACCAAATCGCGGCTCACTTCTCTCCGCCGCCTCCGCCTCCTCCTGCCACAGGCGCCCGGCGTCTCCTTCGGCTCAAGACGCGCCCGGTGCGCGCATCGCCGTCTCCCCTCTGCTGCTCCTCCGCCAGCATCACAGGTGGCGCCGGGAAGAGCCCGGGCGTGCCAGCAGGATGCTGCTGCCGCCGCCGCCGCCTTTCGATGGAGGAGCCCCGCCAGCCCTGGCTGCGGATCGGACTGCCTAGCCCGGCTCGGTTTGACAAGAAGCCCCCGCCTCCGAGCCACGAAGCCGGATCAGCTATTGGGCACGTCCCCCGCCATTCACGCGGAGCCGCTGGGGGAGCCTGGCCAGGCTCACACGTGGCCAAAGCGCTTCTGGGGAGACGGAGGGTCGTGGTCGCATTCAGCGAGATTTGGGGGGTTTTCTGGGCACCCTTCCGTTTAACCAAGCCGCTTGCACTGAAAACGGATTAAGGCTGAACTTGGGGGTTTCGTTCACTTTACAAACCTTGCTTAATAAGGATCTTCCCATTTGAGTGGGGAGGGGGTGACTTTAGCTACGGTGTGAACCCTGCTAATTGTGGCTCATCCAATAAACCACATTTAAGCAACCATTACTTTGCACAGTGCCGTTGTGTTTGACCAATGAGTAGTAGAGAGAGACCCAGCCAGCCCCGTTGGATGTTTTGATGTGCAACCAAGTAATTGAGATGATTCAGTAAATCCGGTTCAGTTATCCCAAGGGGAAGGTGTTATGCAAACCCAGCCAGAGTATGCAAGAAGGGAGGGGGCTCAGCGATAAATAAGCTGCGGGTGCAAAAGATGCTGAGCTTTAATCTGTAGTGGTGCCATGTAAAATTCGTATCAGGTCTTGGAGAACCTCAGCATTGTAGGCTGTACAATCCGTGGCTGTAAGCCTGGTTTATATTGGATTGGAGTGGGGTACAAAACCCAGTTAATGTAGCTTTTTTTGGTTTATTTAATGAAGCCAAAGATTGATATAAGTATTTAAATTTAGATGAATTAGCATTCTTCTGTACTCCTATGGCAAGTTCCTAAGAAGGAAATAAGCCTGAGTGAAGTGAGTCGAAAGAAGGGCCCTTTTGATGGTTTAATTTCAGCGTCTTCGAGTTCTGTGGAAAATTACAAGTATCTTCCACATCTAGAGGTTTAAATCTCTATTAAAAATTACATATTTATTTCTACAGCATTCTGCCAACTCTGCCAAGATGCAAGTGTCACAATCCAAAACAGCAGAATAAGGCCCTTTCTTCGTAACCAAGGGAGAACAAAATTATATTGGAGGCACAATGATTAGAGGGCTGGTTTAGCAATTGGAGAAAACTGAGACACTTAAAAAAGTGACACCACGTCATTTCCTGCATTTAAAAAAACGCTATAACAAATCAGACATGGATTCCAGATACTGGGGACTAAGGACAAGGGATGCATTTCATCTTACCTTACTGTCTTGTCTATGAGTATCCTTGGAGCCTCTAGTATTATTGAAAAGCAGAGTTCTGAAATATGTGATTGGTGTATTTGATCAAGCAGAAAAAAGTCTTGTTTTGCTGGTATCCCATTCATCAAAGATGTAGACTCTGAACAGATATTAAATTTTAAAGTTGCATCCAGTTTGGACAGAATTTTTAAAAGTTACAATGCCTGGTTGAATCCCATTTACATATAGGTGCTTCTCTTCCTCCCAAGCTGACATTTGCTATATAAAGGATTTTGAATTCACTTTTCATCCTTTGCCTGTATAAGCATAGTCCTCTCTCCCATATTCCTGCACTGCATATGTGCCTATAAATTTGCTACCTTCAAAACTAGAATGCAAGTCAGATGTTTGTACTATAACCTGTTAGATTCAAGGGCTATTTCTTCAAGGAAAACCAACCACAGTTAAAGAAAGGTGGTGAAAGCATTCAATATAAACAATCTGAAATGAAGGTGATAAATACTACGCATGAACATTTGGGTTGGAAGGTTGGGACAAAGCAGAAAGCTCCATTATACAAGTTTAAACCCACCCACCCCCATCCCAAAGCATCCAGTTCTCTCTCTTTTAAAAACCTACAGCAAGAACTACACCCACACCCCATCTTCAGACTTCAAAGAACACTTGGCATTCCATTTGCCTGTCATTTTCACAGTCTTGGCAGCTTCAAAGGTTTCTCTCCAAACCAGAAAAATCTGTTGTTTCATCCATAATGCTGAAGACCACAAAAGATTGAGCAAGAACAAGGAGTAGGAATAACCCAACAAACAGCTGTGAGAAGAAACTATTTTGCTGGGTCAAATTTTCTGCTAATAAATTTGAGTATGGTGTTATTTCTTCTTTTTTTTCCCCTTCACTATTCCATGTTCTAGAATTTATACTTTTAGCACATAGATATTGTGACTTATAAAAGAAGAAAAGCCTCTTTTGTAGTCTGGGAAAGTGGACAGATAATAATCAGAAGACTTTCACAAATGGACAATCTCTCTAGCTCAATTGCAGCAGAGAAAAAGACAAACCCACATTAATTATTGAAATACATGATGCAGCTAAGCCATAAGAGCTGCAGAACAGGCCACTGATATTACCAGTAATATATTATATTATTGCTTCTCTCAATCTTCCTGCCTCCATTCTTCGGTGTTCATAGAGCTTCTCCAGAAACAAATACTATTTTTCTTCTCCAAAAAGCTTCTGCAGATATCTGAGCTTGCCTAGTTTCCACTAAAAACGAGACAGTTTTGCTTTGCTTCAAAGATCATCTTTAATGAACTAATAGTTTTTGCTGGGTTTGGGGATTATTGTTATTGAGAAGAAGCAGAATGCTTTCAGGGAGCAAGTAGGAAACTTTTCTTTATATGTTTGCTTAAAAGAAAACTGCCCAGTATGTTCATGAACACATTGGGAAAGAAAAGATTTAGGAGAACACATTTCCTTCCCGCTTTAGTTCTTTCCCCTACTACCTTTTCACAAATTATAAGAAGGGAGGGGAGGGACAGTAGATACATTGTTTTAGCAGATGTTTAAGGGCAGTAGATGCTTTCCAGTTCACTAGCAGCATGGAAGAATCAAGAATCTTGGAAGTGCCATAGGTGTAAAGCACACACTAATGTCAGTAGCAACCTGGTTGAGGGAAGGTGATACTTCCTTTGGAGTAGAAAAGCCCTTGTGGTACTTAGACATAGCCATATCCCATCTGGACCAGCCAACTGCCTTTAATATTTGGTGGTGAAGGACTGGAACTCCAGAGCAGTGATCTGCTTCTCGTTGGAGAACACGGCCTGATCAATGCGAGACATGGGGCTTCCGATGCTGCGTAGCCAGTTCTTCCTGGGTGGGGGAGAAGAAGAAGCAAAAATTAACAGTGCAGCTCCTTCTTCTCCTGCTTTACCCTGCACATTGCCAGAGTAGGAATATGTCTATTCATAGACCCCAAAAGCTATCAGGTGCAATGTGCACATTTGTTGGAAGGCAAAGGCCCATATTTATTAGACATTTTATTACAGATTCACCATGAATCATTGAAAGGAAGTAAGTATACTGCCAAAAGTTACCAGAAGAACAAATGGCTCCAATTAAGTTGAAGACGTAAATAATGTTGCAGAAGGAAAAAAAGTGGGGAGAAGATTGAAATATGCTTTCATTCGTGAAGATTTAAATAATTGTAATGGGATAAATTCCCGCACAATTGGAAAAACAAGGGATCTCATAGACTTTTACAGAGATTGTTTTAACATTGGCTACCAAATATAAGCCCCCCCTTTGAGTTCAAATGTGTACATTACTCCATCTTAAGGGAAAATTAAGAGGTTAAGCTTTATCTATATTAAAACTTTTTTTCTGATATCTTTGGATGATTTTGGATCATACAGTGGTAGAACAGATGCCTAAAATATACAGGTAATTCTCAATTTATAACCACAATTGGGACTGGAACTTCCATTAGTAAGTGATGCATTTAAGAGTTGTGCTCAATTTTATGCCCTTTTTTGCTGAAGTCATTAAATGAATCCAGCTTTCCCCATTAACTTTTCTCATCAGAAGACAGCTGGAAAAATTGTAAATGGGGATTGCATGATTCCAGAAGATTTTTATGAATACATGACAGCATCAATTGTCAAGTGCATAACCTGTAATCATGTGACTGCAGAGTGTTTAGACGCTTAGAAGTACTACTCCAGAAGACTACCTGTACTTATCATTTTATAACCTGAGCCAAAAAAAGAACAAAATTGTTAGAATAAAACTAGGTATTTCAAATTCAATTTCAAACCTATATTATGAGCCACCCAGAGTTGTGTTTTTTAAGATGGGCACTCACACAAGTCTTTTAAATTAAATAAATAAATTTAAGCCATGAAATCAACTGAATGTCATTGAGTCATTTGCTCCTTTGTCACCTGATTACTTTGTCTCTGTAATCTCATTTTGAGAACAAAAGAATAGATATGCTACATTTACTGATAGCACTAAACGTAATCATTGAAATAGGAAAAAAACAGGCTTATTCAATTTAAAATAACTTCCCCAAGAGTTCTGAATTTGTTTGTGGCAGCAAAATCAAATTCTTGTAACATCTTACAGACTAAGCAAATACTGTGTAATCAATTTTCATGGACTAATAGACTAATTGTCTTATAAAGTAGATGTATTCCACAAAAAATGTTTTGGCCCTTTGACTAAGATCACACAATCACAAAACCCTTTCATCATTGTACCATTGCTAGTTTTTAGATTGTTTTGTGGGCTGAAGGTTGCTTTTTCACTTTGTTCATACAACATGCTAGACCAGGAGAAAACTGAATTGTATAATTTAATATTGCAGGAACCTAGCTATTGGCTTGCATGAATGAGGTCATCACACTAAGCTAGAATGTGGTTTATTCATTGGGTGTGCATAGCAATTATGCTTTTAGCATTTTTAGATTTTATGCATAATATGCAAATCCCACCTTTCATGGCATGCTGGGCCCTGTATATTAAAGGGGCAAAATACAATCTAAATGTGATTTAATTTATATTTAATTAAAATCAAATTAAATACAGTCACCATGACCACTCCCCATGTATTTTACAATAATTTACATTTGTAATTTGGCAGCAGCTGAGGGAAAGGCAAACACAGTGATCTGTTGGAAGGCCATGCCCAATACCTGAGTGTATGTGAGCTGCAACCATCAAAAGTGAAATGGATATCTGTTTGATTTTTAAACAAAAAATATAAAAGCACCCTATTGATATCAGCAGTCCACGCCTGTGAAATCTAAAGAAAAGTTCTAAGGATCATGTTATATAAAGAACCTATGAATGAGTTTTCCCACGTAACACAAGAAAACAACTTTCTGCACACTGCCCACACACAATACATTTGCCCAGCTGGTATTCCATTTCAAAAACTGAAATGCTGCCTATTTATTCCCACCCAATACTTAATTGCAAAAGAATGGTGAGAGTCACATGGGTGGCTTTACACCTTTTTTATCCTGCACTGACTTGGGAGGAGAAAAGGGTAGGGGTAGAAGAAGAATGTACATTGAGGAATAGTGTTGCTATGGATTATCTCCTTCCTATTTATCCCTGGTTCCTCAAAGCCAGGGATGGAGTATTGTGGTTGCCATGGAAATGGCCCCAATTTCCCCTTCCCCCCTGAGATATGAAGGTAGACAATATGTAGAGGAAGGTTGCTATGGCAACTGTCCCATTTTTTTTTTTTTTTGTTCATGCTCTCTCTTTTTCTTCAAGGTGATAGAAGATCTGGTTGCTATAGTAATTGCCTCTGGCTGTCATCTTTCTAAAGGTGACAAAGCACTGTTGCAAAAGTTGTTACACCAACACAACACAAAGCCTGCAGGTCACCCTAAGCTCAGATCCTGATTTCGCTCGCTTGCTCTTGCTTTCCTTCCAACCCCCATACAGAATCACCTCTGCTGTGGCTCAAAAATTCATAAAGCAATTTTCTTCATCTCCTTCTGGACCAGTTCTCTAATTGCATGCTGACCCAAGTCCTAGATTTAAGGGTGTCAATTCCCTCTGGAGGCAGAGTCTGGAGAGGTACCCTACATAGGCATTCTCAGTGGAAGCTGGGTGGAAAGGAAAGAAACCTATAAATTGCTGATAGGGGACTATCTTCAGATCACAATTGTGAATATTGTGATAATAGGCTCATTTCTACTATAGGTAGTTCCTGACTTATGATCACAATTAGGAACACTAAGGGGGTTGTTAAGTGAGCTTCACCCAATTTTACATCCTTTTCTGCCAGTTATTAAGTGAAGCACTGCAGTTGTTAAATGAATTGTCAAGCACAGGAAATGCAGAGTTCAGGCAGTTTGGATGAATATACAGGTTTATTTTATGGTAAAGGTCTGTACAAGAATCTGGACTACTAACTATCAAAGCAAGTTGGCGATAGGTAAGTGTCAACGGAATTCAAGATGGGCCTGAAGGGACTCAAGACTGATGATGTGTTTGACCCCTGCCTCGGGCACAGCTTGGCCATCTCCTACATGAATCATGTGGTCATTAAGTGAATTCAACTTTCCCCATTAATTTTAGGTGTCAGAAGCTGTCTGAGAAAGTTGCAAATGGCAAAAGCAGGACAGGACACAGCAACTGTTGTAAATTTCTTGGCGTTGTAAATACATGCAAGTTGCCAAGTGTTTAAATTTTGATCAAGTGACCGTAGGGATGTTGCAAAAGTCATAAGTCAGAAGACTAATCTTAAGTTACTTTTTCAGTGCCTTTGTAACTTTGAACAATTGCTAAACGAATAATTGTAAGTTGAGGACTACCTGTAGTTTTTTTTTTCTCCATGAGAGAACTAGAAGTCCATTCAGAAAGAGCAAACCTCTCACAGATTTCAAGCCACATCCATAAGAAATACACCTCTTGTTAAAGGATATATACAAAAGTAACCATGGCACATGATTCTAAGATACAAAGTTGGTTGATACTGCTTAATGTGGAACCTACTGTAATTAGAATCGGGCTTTTTAGCTTTCTCTTTCAGGATCAAGAACAAGAATGGTTGGAAATAGTACACTAGCCTTGTGCCTTAACTTGGAGATTTTAATTTTTAAATAACAATAGAACAAACTCTGATCAAGAGAGGAACATAAATAACTTTACACTGTATTCAGCACCATGTGGATTACTACAGAAGTAGTTGCTTAGCTGTTTGATTAACAGCAACAGTCTAGTAGTTAGTACTAGCTTGTAAAGTCGACAATTAAGGCCTATGATGGAACATCTTTATCACCAAAGATATTCTATCTTTGGCCAGCAAATGCAGGGGGAAAAAACCCAAATAATTCAAATTTCAATCTTGATGACTTGTACATGTAGTCCTTGACTTACAACAGTTCATTTAGTGACTGTTCAAAGTTACAGTGGCACTGAAAAAATGACTTATGACCTTTTTTCACATTTATGACCATTGCAGCATCCTCATGATCACATGATTTAGATTCAGATGCTTGATAACTGGTTCATATTTATGACAGTTGCAGTGTCCCAGGGTCATGTGATCATCTTTTGTGACCTTCTGACAAGCAGAATCTAATGGGAAGCAAAAAACACAGTGTTATTAATATAACAGCTGCAGTGATTCACTTAACAAATGTGGCAAGAAAAGTCGTAAAATGGGGCAAAACTCATTTTAGAATTTTATCACTTAGCAACATATATTTTGGACTCAATTGTGGTCATAAGTTGAAGACTACCTATACTGAATTTCGAAAAACACTCAATTTCCAAAATTGATCTTCAGTCCTGGCAATTTCAGGAGTCACGTGAAGTCCTTTTCCCCATCTCCAAACAATCCCTTCTGAGACACTTAAGCAGCCCCATCACCATTTTATTTATTATTTATTGGTTTAATTTATGTGCCACCCCTCTCACTGTTGAAGTGACTCTGGGCATCTTGCCAAATAATAAACAGGATAAATATCAAAACAAATTAGTAAGAATTAAATACAGACTAAAAACCAATGATGAACAGTACAAGGGTAGAGTGTTCTCTTTTATGCCATCAACCATCTCCAGTATAGCCACAACCATCAGAGCCACATTTTAAGGACCTTCCAGAAGGCCAAGAGGATGGGGTATCACCATACACCCTTGTTTTTTTATGTTCAGGCAATAATCACCGCCACTTGTTTCAGCAAAACCATTCCAACTGAAGGAGCCAGGTTTCCTTACTTACATAATCTCCACTTTCTCCTTTGGCCCCTGCACTTGTCCAGTCACAGTCCCACTGGCTGTATTCTTCACCCAGCCAACCAGTCCTAGTTTTCTCCCTTGCTCTTCGGTGTACTAACAGGAGGAGGAAAACAAACAGAGATCATCATCAGGAAATTTCCCAAGGTATTCTGAAGTTATGTGCAGGTGGCCCTCAACTTACAACAGTTCATTTAGTGACTGTTCAAAGTTACAACAGCAATGAAAAAAGTGATTTACAATGATTTTTCACACTTATAACCGTTGTGGCATCCCCATGGTCATGTGATCAAAATTCAGATGCTTGGCGATCAACTCATATTTATGATTGCAGTGTCCCAGGGTCATGTGATCACTTTGTGTGACCTTCTGACAAGCAAAGTCAATGGGGAAGCGAGGTTCACTTAACATCTTTGTTACTAATTTAACAACTGCAGTGATTCACTTAACAGCCGTGGCAAAGAACATCATAAAATGGAGGGAAATTCACGACAAATGTCTCATTTGGCAACTGAAATTTGGGGCTCAATTATGGTAGTAAGTTGAGGACCACCTATATACATTGCTTGGTATTTCTCCATTTGATGACACTAGCTAAGTGTGTAAACTGCCTTTATTGAGAAATGCTGGCTTCAAGGTTATATCAAAGCTTAATCAGTTATGTCTGATTGGAGATGACAATTTCAGACTGGCAATGCCTTTGGGTATTAAGGGAATGAAGGAACCGAAGAAAGGCAGCTTAGCAACAAATAGCCTGGTTTTCATCCTGGAGCTTTGCTATATTTTCCTAAGGATTGCCTACATTTTCTGAGGTACATAATTCATATGGAGCTATCAGCTTGCTTGGATTTAGCAGGAAACCCGTTCTTGAGGTTTTCGAGACTATGACAAAACCAGCTGCAATAACATTTCTTTAAATTTTCCAGCAGATATTTTAAAGATGCAGATAAGCACCCAATTGATGCCAAGACGTATGTAAATGTCCCAGACTTGTGCTGAGATTATTCAGTGTTATCTACATATGGGCTTGCTGTTGTATGTTCAGCCTGTCTTGTTCCTTTCATCCCGATCTTGCTTCCAAATCCCCAACCTCTGTTTATAGCTGATATGAGCAGCTTCTCTGCTATTGCTCCCATGATTCCAACCCTGCTCTAATATCCAGGAGTACAGACTCAAGGATTATACTTGAACAATGGTTTTTTTATATGGTGCATGGTATGGTATTTGCCACTCTTAGAAAACCCAGTACTGTACAGTTAAACTGTACAGTTAAAACAGAAACACACTTTCCCTCATTTTGCCATGATATACATCTATATCTATATCTGTACATCTAAAACTCTCGTTTGTCTTATATAACCTTTAACTGGACAAAACAGTATATCACAGGAGCCCAATATTTGAACCAAGGTACTTCAAATGGGCTAATTTACAGAATGCACCCAAAATCTGGCACCCATAATTCCCATGAAATAGAAATTTGGTAAAATTTATAAAACTTTTTATGACATAAAATCACCATAAAGCATTTTTCACATAATACAAAATGTTATAAAACATGTCCGTATATACAGTTCAACATGGACTATTTTCAGGGCAGATACCTCTCTGAATACCTCCCTGAATTTTTAATTCCAATACATTAGAAGCGCTGCCATTTTTGAAGGCATTATCTCTGAACTGATGACCCAATGGGTCATGAGTTATCTAGTAATATATTAGAAAAGATACAACTTACCTTTCTAAAGAAGACACCTAGAAAAGAGAAGAGATACAGTAGATATCATTATAGCTACACATTAGTAAACAAATATCTACAGTACTCCTAAAGCAAGTGTCATAAGTAAGCCATTGGTCTCTTCCAATAGAGATTATAAACTGGAGTGTCAGAAAATTAAAACACCAACAAAACCATTCACAAGATTGCCCAGTGGTTGGTAATTAAAATATTTAAAGCAAGGAGTCCAATCTTTCTGTTTTGCTGGTCTCTCTGAATATCTCCCTAAATTTTTAAGAGCTTTTAATATTCTTAAAAATAATTCCATCATTTAAGATGCTGCATTTTTAATAGTAATCTTTTCCAATCCATTCTGTCCAGATGGCCCGCCACAACCCCTCACCAGTATGGGATCAATGGAGGTTATTGCACATCTTGAGGGTAGCAAGATGCAAAGATGATCTTAAGACATCACCACCTTAAGATGACATAGGCACAACTAATCCAACTGAATTACAGCTTTCTTTGAATCATTTCTTGAAACCATGACTGTGCTTGTGTGAATAAACCTTTCTTTTTTTTTACTGCATCATAGGTTCATGTATGACAGAAGAGAGAACTTCTTGGTTTCCAATCTTGCAGAATCCAGCACTGTGGCATTTACAAACCTATTTACAATCCTGGTTTGTTTAGATATAATAAACCCTAATCCAGGTTAAACACCTTACTAAACCATCCCTACCTGATTTGTTTGCCTGCTCATAGAAGAGGTAAAGCAGGCTGTGTGTTGCTCTCTTTTAATATTGTGGATAAGTAATCCAGAACTCAACTCAATATAACTGTTGTCTTCAGCCCTCCAAAAGATCTTGTTTTCTAATTTCTTTTTTACAAACAGCCCACAGTCCTTTTTGTCTCCTGTGCGATTCCTTTACCTTTTCCCCTTCATTGCCATCATAGAAACTATAGTCTTGATCAATTTTCTATTACAATTAGAATAATAAAAATTGAATTAATAAATAAAAAGTTGATTTTTTACGATAACACTGAACATTCTGTAGCATTACCACAAACCAACTAATAGCCAGGAATTGCAGAAGAGCTTTTCTGGCCTAGGATGTTACTTGCTTATATTTTTATTAACTCAATCATGAAATGATTCTGGATATCTGAACTTTAAGAAGCAAGCATCACAGATTCTAATTACTAAGAACAGCCCTCTCTCCCCCCCCCCCCCCCCCCACAGAACCCAACCCCACAATATAGCATCCACCCCAATACACTACTACCCTCTTTTCATTCCTCATTTCTGGAGAATGGCAGCCGAAGCTATATGACTTCTTGAATGTCACACATCATGTTATTTTAAAAATAGATTATGTGGGGCTGTGTATGTTCAATTTAAAAGAGGTTGAAGCAAAGATGCTCAGCCTCCCTCCCTGAAATGGCCCAGTTCTCAGTATTGCAGAGAAACAGCCTCTCATTCTATGATATGTAGATTCATCACTAAAATTAAGTTAATGCTCCCAATTAACTTCTTCATACATTCCCCTTGAGTACTGTCTTAAATTAAGTTCCTTTAGAGTCTTTGCAGAGAGCTTTTCAAGCAATCCCAGACTATCTTACTGCAATTAGAGCTGAAGCAAGATTCTGCAGTTGGAGAAGCAGACTGCAGGCATCTTATTTCAAGGACTGTACTATTTGCAGAGCAATCCGCTGGAAAGCCAAGCAACCGTATCAGTACACAAAAATCCCGTAGCAAGAATAATACCAAAGGGAGGAAATAAAATCTAGACTCACCTTGGACTTCCCCATAAATCTCATAGTCGATTGCCCAGAGCTCGGAAGAAGCCATTGTCCGGTCCAAGTCACGGGAGCTGACAGCAGCTTCCAAAGAGACTGAGAGGGGGGTATGTATGTTGTGCTATCTGATCTGCTTTACACTGCGGTTTGACCAGCCTGCATTACTAAATTCAGCAGTAGGATGGAAAGCAATGTGTGGCCCACCTGGAACAAGGAACAGGAAGAAATGTGTTTTGTTATTCAGACATAGTTAACTGTGTGCTAAATCATCTACTTTGTATGCAGAAAGACATTCCCAATGTCTCCAAGCAGAGATGGGGAACCTCCTGGCAGAAACCCTGGAGGATGATTATCAGTCTGTATCAGTGCTAGTTTAGAGACAGCAAGGCAAGCCAATATCTCGTTTTAAACCCACCTTCACAATAGCTGTATAGGAAGGAACTTTTGTAGGGAGACAGCAAAAAGCTGATTTACATTAATAACTGCAAGGAAACTTGCTCTCATCTTATATTTTAGCAATTGATTGCTATACCTATGGGCTGGAAAAGGACACCTCCATGTTAATATTTTATACAAGATCTAGGAATGAGATTTCTAAAAAAATGTTTACAAATGCCAGCAAGGCTATTCTCCGACTCTTCCTCTCCATCTTCCTATTTTTTTTTTAAGTATGAGAATTTATAAGAGGGAGAAGGATAAATAGTTGCAGACATTCTTTTAGTTACATGGTATACAGCCCATGGTACATTCAACAAAAACAAAATGTGCACGCATTTGTTAAAGAACTGTGCCAATCTCAGCCCCCATGAACATGCGTGGGCCTCGCACTGAGAACTGCCAACTCAAAATGTCAGATTAGAGAGATTCAGGATCTGTTCTAAGTGTTTGAAATAAGATGTATTTCCTCCTATTCCGTGTGTTGATGTTAGATCAATGGATTGTCTTTTTTTTTTTTTTTTTCCTGTTCAAGCATTTTAGGTCACGCTCTGATAGTCCAAGTACATTTCTGAGGAGCTTTATACCACTCAAATAATAGTCTATTGGTCTAAAATTTTAAGAAATCTTATGGCCATAGAGGTCAATTATACCGGTATCACTAATATCTTTCAATGGGGACATTTGTAGCTATACAAATGCGATATTTAAAAATGTTGTCGTATTTATTTATTTAAATTCACCATAGCTTTCTTTCTTGAATGGTATGGAGAATTTTAAAAAAGTAAAAATAAATCATCACAAACTTGGACTGGTACTGGAAACAGCAGAACCTAACTGTTTGGAAGTGGGGATCACATGACCCCAGGATATTGCAACTGTTGTAAGCACGCAATTTGTTCATGAGTCTGTGGGGATGCTGTGGCAGTCATAAGTGCAAGGACTTATACTAAGTAACTTTTTTTCAGTGCTGTTATAACTTAGAATAGTCGCTAAACATGAAGACAACTTACACAGGCAAGTTTGAAAAGGCATATTTAGATGCATTTTAATTTCTAGTGAATTAAAATAAATATAAATTATAAGGCTATTAATGTATTTTTTTTTCTTAAAGGAACTTATTAGTCTCATCAGTGTCAAACTTGGGGCGTCACATTGCCATCACATGACGTTGCGCGCTGTTTTTTCCCTTTGCAGAGCTAGGGTGGGTGTGGCCTGCATGTGACGCATCAAGCCTACGGACTGCCAGTTGACACCCCTGGTCTAGTTGCTAGCTTGGTAATGGAAGGAACTCGTTCTGGTTTCCATTCTCACTTTTTGTATGCTTTACTATAGTGTATTGGTTTCTTTCTTAAAGCGTAACGCTAAATTAACAGCATCAGAATGAGCAAAATAAATCTTTGCATCATTTGGTCCTCACATGTATGACCGTTGCAGCATTCCCACGGTCACATGATCAAAATTCAGGTGCCTGGCAACCGCCACGTTTACCACAATTGTAGCATTCTAGACTCATGTCATCCATCGTTTGTGACCTTCCCAGATAAAACCAAGAGGGGAAGCCGGATTTTGCTTAATAAGTGTTGATTCACCTAAGAACTGCAGTGATTCACTTAGCAACCATGGCATAAAAGGCTGTAAATTTGAGCACGACTCACTTAAGAACCACCTTGCTTAGAAATGGAAATTCTGGTCCCAATTGTTGTTGTAAGTCGAGTCTACCTGTATTTATATAACATGAGGGAGTAAAAGAGAATGGCAGTTAAGAAATATGAAATATAAACAAACAAACACACACCCAATAGCTAATGTTAAAAACTGCAGTGATTTGCTTAATTTGGGATGCAATGGAAAGTGTTGCTTGTCCCCTATAAAGCCCTCCATGGCCCAGGGCCTGGTAATTTGAGGGTTATGGTCTGTGTCCTGAGCCATTTGCCCATCTTGTGCCATCCGAGTTGGCACATTTCAGAACCTCTCAATCAAGCAATGCTACCTGACTGGAGCCAGGAATGGACCTTCTCAGTCATGACCTCTGTCCTCGGGCGCCCTTTCCTCCCCAAGACTGAAATGCCCCCCCCCCTATGCACCCTTCAAAAGATCCTGGGGTTCGGATGGGGCTGTGGGCTTCCCCAGGGAAAGATTTGGCCCTGTGGTAAGATAGGCAGCCGATAATAATTGCACTGGTGTGCTGATAACCAGTGACAATTTCTTTATGCGTCTAATCATATTTGGCCAATAACCTATTCTATTCTATTTCTATTGTATTTGATTCCATTCCATTCATTAGAATTTATCAAACAAGAATTAAAAAAAATACAATGACAGGGACAATAGGCACGTTATTCTATTCCTCCATATTCTATAACTGTACTATTTTTTACTCTATATTCTATTTTATATTTTACTCTATATTCTATTCTATATATTCCATTCTATTCTATATTTTACTCCATATTCTGTTAGTATTACTATATTTTATTCTATATTCTTTTCTATTCCTCTACCTTCTATTGATCTATTCTACTCTATATTCTGTTCTTCTGTTCTACTTTATATTCCACTCTATTCTATATTTTAGTCTACATAGTCTAAATAGTCTATTATATTCCTGTGTTTTACTCTATATTCTATTCTATTCTATTCATAAATGTTATGCTTCCTTCCTCAGATAGCAGCTTGGTGGGGTCTGTTTCGAGGATTTGTTTAAGCTAATTTCCCCTCAGCCTGAGCCTTTCCAGAAATGGGGCAGCTTCAGAGAATAACAATAATAATGATAAGAAAAAGTACAGCGGGCTGAAAAAGAGGGGTCGGGATGTCACCATTCCCGGTAACTTCGTTTTTTTTGTTTTGCTGTTATTTACCGTTGAGGAATGGAGGGAGGGGGGAAATAAAGGGGGGAAAAAATAATGGAGCTCAAAGAAAAGAAGCTGAGGGAAGCGATGCGAGATTTAGCGGGAAGACGAGTCCGCGCGTGCGCGTGCCGGGGCGCGCGGGGCGCGCTAAGAGAGGACGGGAAGAGAAAGGGAGGGCGCGCGGCCGCGCTCACCCCCCCCCCGCCCCGCCCCATTCCCGAGGCGGAGCTGGGCGGGAAAAGGAAGCCGAGCCATGAAGGGGAAGGCGGCCTCGGGCGTGCGGATGGTGCGCGCGCCTGTGAGGGGGGGGCGCGGGCGCACACAGATATTATTAGTGACACACATATGCCTGTTTTTAGACACAATGACACGCACACATCTATACCATATATGGATTTATATATAAAATTACACATAGATAGAGACACGTGCACTCCCACTCATATATTATGCACCCTCATACATATATAGACATACACACGCATGCATATTTATGTATATATAAACATGTTTATCACATACCACGTACATATAATATACATGTACTATATACATGTATATAGTATATATATTTGTAATATATTCAGGATATTTTTCTGTAGGTATTTAAAATGGACTGATTAATATATATATGTAATATATATGTGTATATACATATATGTGTGTGTATGTGTATAGCATATATATGTACATGTGCATGTTATGGATATGTATATACTGTATTTTTCTTTTGAGAGCAGGCATCAGTATTTCATTTTTTTAATGTATTTCATTTTTTTAACTTCACAGAAAAAAGTCATAATAAAAGGTTATCTTATACATACTAGCATACATTACACTCACATATAGGCATACACACACACACACACACACATGTACATACCAATGTACTCACATACATATACATACCAATGTACTCACACTAACACATTTAAACATTTACACACACATGATACTCATGCACATGTTTGTAGATTAGTTAACAAACTTCAGGATGAAAATCACACTTTGCCTTTTGTCCCCTTTAGCTTTGGAACTCGACTTGCTTTAAGCAAGAGTTTGTGCTATATTTGAAATTGAACTTTTTGTTTGAATTTCAGCCAACTAACCTAGATATTGAGCCAGGTATCTCTGTGGTAGCATTTGAAGTAGGCCAATGCTTCCCCATGTTTATCCTCAAAAAACCCTAACACCTTGGCAGGTATTCTATAAATAATCCAAATGGATTACAATCCACTATCACTCCTACTGATTTAAAACGCATGCTGGCAAATGTGTGGTCCGGTTTGGTGCTGGAACCAGTCTAGATTTTTACAAAAGAATCATCGGCCACAGTGTAATTTCACAAGTACATATTGGCTGGATGCATACTTTGTGGTTCAGAATGTCGTGGAAACACAGACAGTGTATTTGCAAGCCATCACATTAAGCAAACATATAATTTGCCTCTTGGGCCCCATAAATTTTAATGAACAATTTTATTTTATTGTATTTTCTTATTATTTATTATTATTTCCCCTTCTTAGTTACAAAGTCTGCTTGTGTATGTTGCTTAGTTTTTATAGCAAAGTTTATATCAATGTATGATGTGATAAGATTTGTTTTGCAGCTGGCTTGTCCTCAGCTTCTGACTATTTGCCTAGTCCTCAGCTTCTGACTATTTGCCTAGTGACTGTTTGAGGTTACAACAGTGCTGAAAAAAAGGACTTAGGACTGGTTCTTGAACTTACGGCTATCGTGTCGTATCTACAGTCATATAATTGTGATTTGGGCACTTGGCAACTGGTAGGTATTTACAATTGTTGCAACCTTCCCAGACAGCTTCCAACA